AGGTCTGTGATAAGACTGCGGATCTTTATACAGAATACAAATTTTCTCTATCAATGTCAATAGATAGAGGAGTTAAACAGAACGTTATTTTGTGTCTTACGTATGCACGTTTCTTATAAATGCATAAAATTCGCGGTCTAGCGATAATTGCTTAACAATTGCAGCCACGAATTCCGAAACAACGAAATCCCACTTTTCAACAATATATTGATACACGTGACTGTTTTTTCCATAGCCAGATTAATCGAATACAATTTAAAACAATGAAGGAAATCGATATATTGGAATACCGATTGGTAGACCTGCGCTGTTTTCGAATACACGGCTTCCACTTTCAATAAGCGACAAACAGACGAATTGCGACGAGTTTCAGCGTCGCAGCGGCCTTTTTCCCGCAGGAGAATGACTCTCAATTACAGCACTTAATTGCACGTAACACTCGTCATCCGCGAGGCCGGCGCAGCACCGCGCGAATTCAAACGGCGCGTATCGAAATCGATTAACGGGTCTCGTTGCGATTTCCGAGATCGCGAGAGGAACGCGGCATGGTTAAGCCGGCGATCAGGATTTCTGGGGCCGTATTAAAATACCGGGAGAAAGTTTTCGACGCCGGTGAAACAAGCTCGCCGTTGCGCAACGACAACGACCGTTTTAAACGGTCGCCGAAGAAGGCTGTCCATCGCGCGCGAAAATCGTGCAGCGGAAAAAATAGGAAGAGCAGAAAAAGATCGGTCGGTTAAGTGCAGGAGAGACACGCGTGCATTTCACGGTTCTCGGGAACCGATTAAGCACGCAACACCTATGCCTATGCGGCGTACGTGCGAGGTGCGAACTGCAACAGTCATTTCCTTGGCCGGCCAGCGGCATTTATTCCAAGGCGAGAGAGCAGAGAAGATTGCAAAATGCATCTCCGATCGCTACGGTCGCGCGATTTTTTCTGAAAATCCTTGAGCAAAATGTCGCTGCGAGCCGCGAACGATATTAGAGATCCAAGGAAACGCACTCCTGTTATTCTTTTCGGCGGTAATCGCGAGTTTCTTAAGAGAAGTTTAAGCCTGCAAGGCTTAATCCCGCTGTTGAATACAGAATTATTAGCGAGGGAAAACCGGCCACGTCGGATTAGATCGGATCAAAGCAGTTTTCAAGTGCGCGCTTGGATCAGACCGCCTCGAATCTTGCCGGTTTAAACGGAGCCTAGCGGCGGCTCCTCTTCCTCTGCTTCCTGACAATTTCAAGCGGACTTAATGGTCTAGTAGAAGCTCTCGAAAATTCTCTTAACGCGCTATCTGCCCCGCAATTGTTCCGAAACTTTGCTATCTTTTCCGCGACTCGTCTCGACCTCTGCCATTCTTCTCTGTCGTCGCATCCAGACAATCTAAACATCTCTACGCTAGTGTTGGTAATAATAAAACAAAGCTCTGTTTGCAGGAGTGCTTGATCACACGGTCTCGCTTGCTCTCTGCGTACCCGCCGAAAAAGTGGGACACTGCGAAGATAACGTGTCGGCTGAATCGTTTCCACCGTAATCGTTACGTAAACGTTTTAGCAATTAGAGATCCATAGTCGGCCACGCATCGTGCAATTACAAAAACACCGATGCGGCTTCCCATCACGGGGTTAAACGAGACGATGTGTCTGTTTAAGGGGTTCGCTTAGAGAATTGATTCAGAACTTTGTCGATTTTGCTCGAATCGCCTCGAAACTTTACGGAGATATTCTCAAGGTGTTGTAGCTCGATATAAAAATCGAAAGATGCAAGGTTTTCAAGTTTCTGAATAGCCGGTAGCCTCTGAAAGCAACACGATGTTACAAACAAGAAAAATTACAGTCGGGGCGATTTTTCTGGCCGGGCGATAAAAAGAAACCTGTTCGCTGGCCCTTTATCGTGAGCCGAATATTGATCCACGTTTCCCCGTTAATCCGTGAGCCCGCCACGTGCCCATTGGTGCCTGTTTGTGCACAATTTTGCTTGAAAAGTACAATGTCTAGCCGCGCAGGACAATATTTCAGCCTAAGACGGCACAGTCAAGTGCAATGTAACGCCTTCCAGATCAAACCCTGAACACGCATTTCCTTGTAAAGTTTATCGCTAAACGTAGGCCTCTGAAAGTATTAGTAATAGTTCGGCAGCTTAGAATTGCGCTGCTTTACCGAGAATCAACAAAGGCCCGCAAACCTTTGACTGTCAAGTGAATGTCTAGAAAGAAAACGCACTCCGCGAGATCAAAAGGGCCGACAAAGATCAGTCAAAACTCAACACGAGGATACAGTGGCATACTTGGGACACGTTCAAGAGGGACACCGATAGCCTTGAAGATACAAGCCGCCACGTGTTTTTTTGCTACTCATCGGTGAGCTGAATGCGGATCAGCCAACCCCTCCGTGATCTACCTGGGATCTCATTGTTTTCGGTGCCGAAAACCCACACGAAATTGACTTTAGCCACACGCTCGGCGATGCCACCGGCGCCTTTTATCGATAAATTCGAAACCCTTAACAGTTTCGTTTGCCAACGTAAATCCATCCTCTTAAATATCCGATTAGCCGTATGCCGTTCGAGTTATTGTCCTTTCCTACGGTTTCCATAAGCAAGATATGGGTCTCATCTCCCTCTCAGGAATTCGTCAAATAGAGAATAATAAGACTATAGTCTCAGTTCTAACAGTGCCAAGGCCTAGGTTTCCATTAGGTAGAAGCACGACAGTATCACGGTCCAACCATGCGCTGAACACAAATCGGCCTCAGCTTTTGTTTNGCAACATTGCGGCGCGGAATGAAATGTGGCAACCATGTTTAGTCGCTATCCTTCTCTTTTAGCTTGCTTTCTCTCTTCCGTTACATTTTTACCGATACCCGTGATCACAGAAACATATGCGTGTGCCACCTGCCGGTCGAAAATATTTCTAATTTGGTTTGTCTAATGTCCGTTCGCACAACTGCAGCGCCACGATCTGTTACGGCCTGATTCTCACCGCCTTAATGGTCTAGTAGAAGCTCTCGAAAATTCTCTTAACGCGCTATCTGCCCCGCAATTGTTCCGAAACTTTGCTATCTTTTCCGCGACTCGTCTCGACCTCTGCCATTCTTCTCTGTCGTCGCATCCAGACAATCTAAACATCTCTACGCTAGTGTTGGTAATAATAAAACAAAGCTCTGTTTGCAGGAGTGCTTGATCACACGGTCTCGCTTGCTCTCTGCGTACCCGCCGAAAAAGTGGGACACTGCGAAGATAACGTGTCGGCTGAATCGTTTCCACCGTAATCGTTACGTAAACGTTTTAGCAATTAGAGATCCATAGTCGGCCACGCATCGTGCAATTACAAAAACACCGATGCGGCTTCCCATCACGGGGTTAAACGAGACGATGTGTCTGTTTAAGGGGTTCGCTTAGAGAATTGATTCAGAACTTTGTCGATTTTGCTCGAATCGCCTCGAAACTTTACGGAGATATTCTCAAGGTGTTGTAGCTCGATATAAAAATCGAAAGATGCAAGGTTTTCAAGTTTCTGAATAGCCGGTAGCCTCTGAAAGCAACACGATGTTACAAACAAGAAAAATTACAGTCGGGGCGATTTTTCTGGCCGGGCGATAAAAAGAAACCTGTTCGCTGGCCCTTTATCGTGAGCCGAATATTGATCCACGTTTCCCCGTTAATCCGTGAGCCCGCCACGTGCCCATTGGTGCCTGTTTGTGCACAATTTTGCTTGAAAAGTACAATGTCTAGCCGCGCAGGACAATATTTCAGCCTAAGACGGCACAGTCAAGTGCAATGTAACGCCTTCCAGATCAAACCCTGAACACGCATTTCCTTGTAAAGTTTATCGCTAAACGTAGGCCTCTGAAAGTATTAGTAATAGTTCGGCAGCTTAGAATTGCGCTGCTTTACCGAGAATCAACAAAGGCCCGCAAACCTTTGACTGTCAAGTGAATGTCTAGAAAGAAAACGCACTCCGCGAGATCAAAAGGGCCGACAAAGATCAGTCAAAACTCAACACGAGGATACAGTGGCATACTTGGGACACGTTCAAGAGGGACACCGATAGCCTTGAAGATACAAGCCGCCACGTGTTTTTTTGCTACTCATCGGTGAGCTGAATGCGGATCAGCCAACCCCTCCGTGATCTACCTGGGATCTCATTGTTTTCGGTGCCGAAAACCCACACGAAATTGACTTTAGCCACACGCTCGGCGATGCCACCGGCGCCTTTTATCGATAAATTCGAAACCCTTAACAGTTTCGTTTGCCAACGTAAATCCATCCTCTTAAATATCCGATTAGCCGTATGCCGTTCGAGTTATTGTCCTTTCCTACGGTTTCCATAAGCAAGATATGGGTCTCATCTCCCTCTCAGGAATTCGTCAAATAGAGAATAATAAGACTATAGTCTCAGTTCTAACAGTGCCAAGGCCTAGGTTTCCATTAGGTAGAAGCACGACAGTATCACGGTCCAACCATGCGCTGAACACAAATCGGCCTCAGCTTTTGTTTAGTTCAATTTTTAAAGGAATTTCTAATTTCCATTGCATTTGATTCAGTTCATGCAAGAAACACCGATATACTTCTTTCAGAATTAAATTTCTCAAGAACCTGACGGACTTGTGCGGTCAAGCAAAATCTACAAGAATAATATTATTAATTAACGTGATCAATGTGAATCAGATCGAAATCAAATTACCTCAATCCTACACGCAATGCTTCACAATATTCTGGTTTTTATAAACAACGCATACAGTATTTGTGTACAAACTGCAGTTTCTATAACGATGTCGAAAGTTTCGAAAACATTCGTTGGGATACGATATCCAAGGTGCCCTGGAGCAATAAAAAAAAGATCGGGTCGCTAATCTCGAAGCAAACAGGTCGGCGGTCTTTGTCCCTTTAAACGTCGCGCCCTGTTTATGGCCCCGACGGGTTTACCGACTCGTATAATAGTTAGCGACGAATGGAATACGATAAATGGCGATGGATAGAAAAGAGACAAGAAAGAATTACGACTGACCTGAGGGATGTTTGCGTTGAGCTGACGGTTCAACGAGTCCCGTTCCTTCTCGGTCTCCTGACGTCGGGCCTCGGTCTCCTGTAGGCGTTCCTGGGTCTCCCTGAGGGTCTCCATCAACTTGTCCCTCTCGTCGAGCATGGAGACCATCAGCTGCTCGAAGTTGACATCCTCGCCAGAGAACTGCGAGTTTCTCTGGCTGATACTGTCCTCCGCGATCGTCGGCATCACGTCGCACATCATATTCCACATTTTGCGTGATTATAAATCCGACTTCCGTGCTTCTCACCCTTCCGGACCACACTGAAAACTCCACTTGAAGTAGAACGACACACGCAACAAAGAACGACAAATCAACGAACAAAACAAAAGGATGCGTGAACCAGAAACGGCACCGACCACGAACCTTTTCTAGCCTTATAGACTTCCTATCTTTTTTTTTGAATCAGTTTTCCTCGGTCTCCTTAGCAATCAGTCATCTTTCCTCTATATTTTTCTATTCCTTTTCTATTGCACTTTCCTGTCAGTCTCTTCCTAGTTCAGCTGCTTCGTTTTCTATCGGGAACCGATTCGATCTGTGTTCACCGGACAGGGGGGAGGGCGGGGGTATCCTAACCTCTAAACGGCGAACTATTCGCGACGATCGTTCCGTTCCCTCTGTTAACTAGTACATGCGGCCGGTATCATCGCTTGAATCTTGTGTTCCGTGTCTCGTGTTCGTCGGCTGCCGGCCGACTCACCGTGATCGAAAATCATGTCTCATTTTCAGCACAGTGCCAAGCATTTCTCTCTGTTTCTCGCCGCGAGGCTGTGCACCCGTTGTTTACGGCCAGGGATAATCGATGTGTCGACTCTCTCCCGGCGGTGGTTGTGTATTGTAACAAGAGAGTAGAGTCCTTTCGGAGCGGATCGATTCGTCGGTGTGTATGCAGGGCTCGAAAACTCAGGGCCTGGACACCACACGCGATCCGATAGATCGATAGACGTGCAAGAGGGACCGCCGTCCGAGGTGGCTTTTTGACAGATCGCGATAAAACAGGAGCCTCGCCGGACGCGCACACCCGCCGAACACGCTTCGAATTTACGCGAGCGGTCGACACGCGAGTCCTTCCCTTTCCATTTCGTCTGTTTTCCGAGCTGGCAAGGCGGCGGGTTACTTTCGATCGCAACGGGTCAATGCGGATCAGGCAAGGTTCTCTTCACGGAGCCGGGCGAGCGAGTCTGACAATCGTCGTGAATCGTGGAGCACCGGGCGATCGCGCGACAGGCCACCGTTTACTTTCCACTTCGATCTCATTCAGACGCAATTTCACCGTACTCATCAAAACGCGCCGCCTCTCTATTTGCCAAAGAAAGAACCCGCGACGTACACTGCCGAAAACCTCTTTCTCCCTCTTGTTAGCACCTCGGAATATACAGTCGGGTTTTCAGTCACCACACACTCCGCTCAATTTCGCCCTCCTCCGGGATATCCGCGATTTATCATATCTCACCATCCGAGACTCGGCCGACGGAACGATCCCGATCGTGCGTACGAACACTGCGCGAGCCGCGGGTCAGCCTTCAACGATCGGCATTTCGATGGCATTATCGCAGTGAAGCCGAGCACTGACACACCTACAGTTCGTTCCTACCGCCCAGCCTCTACGCTACTCTCCATTTCCAATACCGGCAGCCATCTTGCGTCGTGACGTCAGCCTCTGTAGCCGAACGGTGCACAGTCGACTCCGCCCGAGCGCCACACGACTGAAACCGATGGTCTCGTTTGTAATCGAACGGCGGGATCGATCATACCTTAGGACTCATTCGCACCGAACTGGTCGCGGCAACCGCACGCGGGTCATTTAAAGGATACAATTGACGAACTATAATTAATACGTACATCTATGTTCTCTCGCCTCTTTTTCGGAACTAAGTGAACACCAGAGACGAGCAATATATACTGCAATTAATTATTCAATTTGGTTGCAATCGCCAAAGGCGTTTATCAAATAAAATCTCAAATAGAAATTAACAGTTCATGATTCATGGTAAATATCTTTTACCAACGACACAAAATCGAATATCTCTGTTACTAATAATTAAGTATATTTGTAAGTAATAATTGACGGATTTTAACAAGTCAACCATGGTTCGAGGCAGATCATAAACCTTTTCCTGCATTTTATAGTCGTTCCCAACTGTATCCTTCCCGTACTAAAGTTAAAATCTATTGTTGCAAATGCTTATCTTGCAATTTTTACCTTGATAAAACTCTAAATGCAGAATTTAACTAAACTTGCAATAAATGCAATAAAAATATTTTCCGAACGTTTGGAAGCGAGTTCGGAAATTTTACATAAATAGGTCTGGGCGTAAGGGTTTTGATCAAGGTAAAAAATTAATTTACAATGATTGGACCGGCGAATATTACAAATACATTAGTTCGAATACCACCAATATATTAGTGCCTTCGAAATTCGTGAAGAGTATAGTACGGAGAGATTTCCCGTACGAATTCGTCGCTGGTTATTGCGACGATTTCGATCGGGATGAAAGAGAGGGAAAAAATCGGAGAGGCTTAACTTCCCGGAAGACGGAGACTGCGCTAAAACGTGAGATGCTGGATGATCAATACCGGCCGCTGTGTCAGATTCTGGACCAAGGAGTACACTCGAGAGAGACAGACAGAAGGGAGCATCATGAAAACAGTGACACATACTTGCACACCAGGAGCTGCCGGTAAGTAGCCTAGTTTCATTTCGAAATATCCTTAAACGAAGTAGAGTCTGTATTAATTAGCGAGTTCTTTACGCTGTAATTACAATTTAATATCTTACACACAACATTTTCTCATACCTGTAATGCAAACGACTTGCTGACTGTCGTTTCCGAATCATGTGCTACAATAAATGATCATTTTGTAATCGTTCCATCCACTTTTTAGTACAATGATTGAGTTAAATATGAAAATTGTTTACCGGAACCAAGGCCGAAGTTAAAGCAGGCTTTGGGGTCACCATGTTAGTGTTCAAAAATTCCGCTATTATTTGATATCATTCTGCATTTATCCGAGTTTCAGAGCTAGCGGGAAACGAGTCGATCGTGGACATTGCTGAATCGGTGGACGAGCTACGTGAAAAGCTAGCAAACATGAAGAGGCTGATGGAGGAACGGAAGGGCACCACCCTGGGCGAAATAAGCGCCAAAAAAAGGAAGGAGAGCTCGGACATTATAGATGGGAACTTCCTCTCCTGGATATTTGGCGCGGCGTTGATCGTGATCCTCAGCGTCAGTTTTTACACGTTTTATAATCTCTACCACGCGGTCCTGAAGAAGTTCCCCTCGCATCACACGGAGCTTTAAACAGGCAATGTCCACCTATAAAGACACGATATTTCTACACGAACATCGTTCGTCCGTTGCGGCAAAATATCTTGTGATGTAGGCAATGAAACGTGCAATATCAATTCTTCGAATGGACACCTCCTAAAACCAATAAATGAATGAGATCAGGTGAAAAGTCTGTAGCGCGCGTCGCTTAGACAGCATAATTGGCAGCACCCATTCCACTGCGAATTATTCTCTGTCCTATTGGAAAATCTTGTCAGAATGTTTCCAATTATCCAGGACAAGTTAGCAGAAGAAATAGAACGGCGTCCAACAAAAATTTTGTAGTGATTTCGTTCTAATCAGAAAAATTACGCTTACACTTATCTTGAGAAATGAGTTTCTTGATCTAATGTCCGAATCTATTGTTGAACTGCACATAAAAAAGCGTGAGAAAAGGATCACAAGTGGGATCACAAACAATTAACACTTCATCTACCGGCTATTTGTCTTTTTTAAATAATAATTTCAAAAGCGCGATTCGATTGCAGTACCGAGGGCGTCTTATTGATTCGCAAATAAAATAAAAATCTTTGAAAACAATTAAATATAAGCGCCGGTAGGTAGTGTGTTAACATAACAGTACACGCGATTAAAAGAAAACTTGCTCTATCTAATTGCGATTTCTCTTAACTTCATCTTCACCTTCGTCGTTGTAGTTGTTCATTGCAAAATCGAACGCGGAAAATTTTCCATATCGATCGTTTTATTTAAATGTACATATTGTGAATATTAAATAAAGTTATGACTCGATCGACGTTATACAATACCGTAGAACAGTCAATAAAGATCACTATATCACACGTGTAAGGACACGGCGTAACGTTTCATTGTAAAGGAGGGCAACTCATGCGAGGTCTTCTTGGACTTTCAGTTGTCAGAGCTACAATAATCAGAAAATCATTCCTAATAAATCAAACATAAAAGGGAAGGTTTTACAAAAAAATAGATAAGTTTTATCAATACGTATGAACCTACAGAACAAGGACTTCTTGTTTTCTAACTCTCTGGTAAAATTGTTTAACATCTTTTGATAATCTTCCTGTTGCTGAAATAACATGAATTTCTTTGTAAAAGCATTTGTATTTGTTTTCTTTATTGTATTGAAACTGATTACCTTCATTACTTCATTTCTAAGAACCTCCCTCCGAAACGACAAAGAGGAAATGTGGTTTTGCAACGTTTTAACCTGCTACATGCATGAATCTTAATTATCGGGATTATTTTGAAATTGAAGCAAAATACAACAATGGCGACCAATCACGTGACTTCACGTGACCACTGCTTTGTAATAAATCAAAAAATAATTACAAATTTCATATACTCCCTTTCTCGGCGAATAAGCTAACGTCGCGATGCATTTTATGATAAAGTTACTAAGTATCGTTGCATTTCTGCTTTAATCTCAAGGTAAACAGATAACATAACCATAAATTAATCGATATTTGACGCTGGCGGGAAAAATACGATCTAACCTCGCCCTCGATTTTCCGAACATCCTTTTTTAACTCCGACATCAACAACTTGTATCCGTCTCTATAATTCGATGTTTTATTTTCCAAATCTGTCAGAATCTTCTCTGCGTTCTTTATTTCATAATGAGATCGCTGCAACTGCATAGATATCAAAATTCTATTGGTATTTTATATTTACATACAAAGATGTTTAGTACCCTTTAATTCTGTTCGCTTACCAATTGTTCTTTTTCCGTTATCTTCTTTGTAATTATACCCAACTTTTCGTCCACGTAAAACTGTAAAGATCGAATCAATCGATTAACGGAGCAATAAATATTATATATTATGCACTCTGTTTAGGTACATCTCTTTATTCGAAAAATGAGTTCTATAACTGACTTTGAGCGGATAATCTGACTCCAAGATTTCGTCTTTAGCAGTGATCTAAAATGATTGCAATTATTTGAGTACGGCTGACATGATCGTTACGAATAAACGAATCTCTGTTGAACTTACGCAATCTTTCAGCTCCTCCAATCGAGCATTATACTTGATTGTGTTATTAGCAACAGTTGTTAGTTAGTACAAAAAAGATAAGTATATTTGTTAGTAGAAAATCAGGAGATATCCTTACCATTACCATAAGAAAGGTGACGACGCAATAGACAACAAATAAAAACACGCATAATATTTTTAAAATATAAATGGCCAACACAAACAACATGACGAACGATTTTTTTCTATAATTTTCTATGTGCACAAGCTAGAATTTACAATAAACTTCATTTTACAAACGAAAGATTCTGGACGCGGTTTCCATTTGGAATAACCGTATTGTATGGGATCGAGAATCGAAATAACTCGACGATTTTGAATGTTTCGAGTTGTATCGATTCTTCCAAAGCGCGGAGAATTCAAATACTTCAGCAATATACAAACTTGCCAGGAACTTTGTTTATAAATTATGTAATTAAGGAATACAGATACCGTTACTATTTTACAAAGTCGAATGTTGATAAGATAATTATGTTTTCTCAATTACTCTATACGCAATTAGTGGTTTCGAGAAAATTTATTGCAAATCTTCAAAGTTAATGTCTAATTTACATCAAGATTAATATCGATAATTCATGCTACATTTTTTGTTAATAATAGTAAATATCAATGTACATCGACAAATATTTTATTGTAAACTATAGAAATAGAACACATGTTCAGAGTCCAGGTATTTTCTATGTAAGCCTGTGAATGTTTCATTAATACTGGACAATCATTATATTATACACAACTTAATGCTAAGTTACGTGTGCTCGAAATGCATATGCGTATTATTTCCGAAGAATACAGCTTTAAAAGTTAACAAACATGATTTGCATTATATAACCTATAAAAATGGAGTACTCGCATCTGGTCTATTCAACAACAAAAATGAGTATCGTAGAAACTTTAACAATTACTCAAACTTTTTACCACGATCAACAGTATTGCCGTCACAATCGCAAGTTGTTATTGCGGGTGCAGGAACAGTTGCCAATTCTGTTGCCTATCATCTTGTTATTAATGGATGGAATGATGTGCTCGTCCTAGAACAAGATAGGTATGCATTGATTTGTCAAATAGAATAACTAAAAGTGTTATAAATAATTTACATTTCAACAAATTCATGGAAGATCTATTTTAGGATTGGAAGCGGAACATCTCACTTTGGCTCAGGCACCCTTGGACTCTTCAAACCAATTTCACATAGAAATTTGATCTCCTATAGCATTAAGTTATATCAACAATTACAAGAAATGGGATATGATATTGGATTAAAACAATGCGGCAGTATAAACTTAGCTCAAACCAAAGATAGAATGATAGCTTTAAAACGTAGGATGGCCTATAATGTACCTACAGGATTGCATTGTGAAGTAATATTTATTAATTTTTTATTGTAAGTATAACTAGAAAGAAAGTTGTTAAAGTTCAGTGAATTCTATAGATTTTAGGAAAAAAAGAACTGCAGAGATTGCATCCGTATCTTAATACTGATGATATAGAAGGTGCTATTTGGGTACCTGAAGATGCAGTAGCTAATTCCAGTGCAGTTTGTGAAGTTTTAGCTAAACTGGCAAAATCTGGAGGAGCAAGATATATTGAAAATTGCAGAATACAAGAAGTAAACACTGAAAATGGAGCTGTGAAGAGTGTAAAGACTGAATATGGTGTAGTATTCTGTGAGTACTTTGTTAACTGTGCAGGAATGGTAAGAGAACATACATCATCTTTTAATTGAATAATGTATAACTGATAATATAAAATATAAACTTATTTGCTTTATAGTGGGCACGTGAATTAGGATTGCATTGCAATCCAGCAGTCAGAATCCCAGCATACCCTGCAGAACATTTTTATGCAATTGCTTCTCCTTTTCCACCTAATTCGAATATCACTCTACCATGCATAAGAGATTTTGATTCGCATTCGTACATGAGAGAATGGCAGGGAAGTTTGCTAGTTGGTTGGTTTGAACCAGAAGCAAAACCTGCATTTGAAAATGGTAGTGTTCCCATACAAAATTGGAAGAATTATCTTAAAAATGATCCTTCTCATTGGAAGCTTTTATGGGATAAAGTTATACATAGATTACCAATTTTAAGTAAAGTACAACCAAACGTACATAACTGTCCTGACAATTTTACACCAGATGGAAGATGGATATTAGGAGAAACTCCCGAAGTAAAAAATTATTATGTTGCCGTAGGCATGAATGGAAATTCACTTCAAGGTAAATATTGAATCTTGTCTGTTAAAGATTCTGAATGAAAGTTATAAACCATTTTCATATAGGTGCAGGAGGAATAGGAAAAGAGGTGGCTGAATGCCTTATAAACGGCGAATCTACCCAAGAGTTGCTTCCCTTTAGTGTTCAAAGATTTCTTGATTTGCATAGCAGTAAACGGTATTTACAGCAAAGAACAAGGGAAATAGTAGGCAGAAATTATGCAATTCTATACCCTCACCAATGTGAGTACAAATATGCTCGGAAATTGCGTTGTTCTCCCTTATATTCGGTACTTGAAGAAAGAGGTGCGATTTTTGGAGTCAAGATGGCCTACGAACGACCACTTTACTTCGATTCTACTTACAGAAGTAAGAAAATAATAATTTGATTTCTCTGTATATATTTAAGTAATTAAAATAACATTAATTAATTAAAGGAGGTCAGAAAAAACCAGTTATGCCTCGAGGTAGCTTTTACAAGCCAAAGTTCTTCGATTTTATGAAAGAAGAATTTCTTGCATGCAAAGAAGGAGTAGGAATTATAGATATGAGCTCATTTTCAAAAATTAAAATTAAAGTAAGTACATGAAAGATATGTTCGTAACAATTTTATGTGAACATTTATATTTTAATACTATTTTATATACAGTCTAGTCGTTGGGAAGTTGTGGAGTACCTTCAACAATTGTGTTCAAATGATGCAAATATACCAGTTGGTGGTATAGTGCACACAGGAATGCAAAATGAACGAGGTGGTTACGAAAACGACTGTATTTTAGTGAGACAATCAGAGAATAGTTACTTCATGGTTTCACCAACGTCTCAACAAACGCGCATTTATCAATGGATGTCTAGGTAAAAAATATTGAACTATGAATTACTAATTATAGTCATGCGAAACAAATGTAGAATCTATTGCTTCTTGTTGCAGACATTTACCAGCAGATCATTCAGTCGGCCTGAATGATGTAACTTCAAAGTATACGGTAATCAATTTAGTAGGTCCTAAAGCTACAGGCCTGTTATCCGAGCTTTCTAATTCTAACATTAATCTATCTCCTTTCACGTACAAGGTAAAAACAACTTCACCTGTTGCAGCTAAATGGGATCATTTACAACAAGAAATGTGGTAGATATTTTGGTGATCCCATTTAACTGTAGCATCGTGTATACTTCAGAATATGAGTCTACAGAACAGTTATCATGTCAACAGACTGCAAACGTAGCATACGCCTCAGACGTTATGATAATGTCATTTACAAACACTGGTGAATCTGGTTACTGCTTATATATACCTTCAGAGTATGCGCTACACGTATATGAGACGTTAATGGAAGTAGGTAAAGATTATGGGGTACGAGACGTGGGTGTTCTCACACAACGTTTTATGCGAATAGAACGATTTATTCCCTTTTGGGCTGAAGAGTTAACACCATTTGTTACCCCATATGAAGCTGGAAGTGGATATAGTGTAAAGTTAAATGTAAGTATGTTATGCACATTTGTATTAACCAGACGGGGTTCCAAGACTTAACAAGGTTATTTGATTTTGTAGAAGGAGTATTTCATTGGAAAATTTGCTTTGCAATATCAAAAAGAGCAGGGTGTGACGAAACGATTAGTATTATTCGTTGTTAATGAACTGGATATAAACAAAGACGTATGGCCATGGGGTGGAGAACCTATTTATAGAAACAATAAATTTGTAGGAACTGTGACATCAGCTGGGTAAGTGTACATGATGAACACTAGCATAGTAAAATATATTTTTCATTGTTTCGAATTCATTTTATAGGTATGGTTTTGCAACTGAGAAACATATTTGCCTTGGTTTCATTAGTTTACCTGGAACAAGGCATGCGCAACCGAATAAGAATATTGTTACAACAGATTTTATAATGAATCCTATGGCTCGTTACGAAATCGATATTGCTGGTACTAGATTTCCTATTAAGCCTCATATTTATCCTTTACCGATACCAGCATTGAGCACTAAATTAAATAAAAAATATATTCCTACCCCTATCATTGGATATGAAAACGATGCTTTCCGATATTAAAAAGGAGAGGCCAATTTCTTGCTTTTTGACGAGGTTGCAGATAGTCTGAATTATTTAAACGTATTTATAATTTTATAGTTCATATTATACTTTTACTATTTTAAGTGAAACGTACTTATACATTTACTGAAAATATATAAATATTTAAAATTTGTTGACTTCTGCTTTATTTGCAGTTACACTAGAATTAATATACATTTCAAGAAATGTATTCATAGCAAACACATTTATACAAAGTGTAGAACATAATATTAACATAATGTTTAAAATCAAAAAGCAACAATATAGTTTAAGTTTATCGAACTTTTTACACAGCAAAGTTGTATATAGCAAAATATGTTGTCTAGTTTATATACACATAGGATATTTGTCTATTATTATTTATGAAGCTTTTTCATATATAAATTTAGATATTTATACTAATATTCATTTACGGATAGAAAGCAACGTCATTTAACAAAGCTTCATTAGTATTTTGATTAATTTTTAAACTGTGCACAGGATAAATTGCTGTAATAAGTCTGTAATCATTAAAAGATATAAAATCTTGTAAGTAAAGATCATTTCAGCATTGTTGAACTCTTCAGCAATGTTTTCTTTGTTTTAANATGCGAAACAAATGTAGAATCTATTGCTTCTTGTTGCAGACATTTACCAGCAGATCATTCAGTCGGCCTGAATGATGTAACTTCAAAGTATACGGTAATCAATTTAGTAGGTCCTAAAGCTACAGGCCTGTTATCCGAGCTTTCTAATTCTAACATTAATCTATCTCCTTTCACGTACAAGGTAAAAACAACTTCACCTGTTGCAGCTAAATGGGATCATTTACAACAAGAAATGTGGTAGATATTTTGGTGATCCCATTTAACTGTAGCATCGTGTATACTTCAGAATATGAGTCTACAGAACAGTTATCATGTCAACAGACTGCAAACGTAGCATACGCCTCAGACGTTATGATAATGTCATTTACAAACACTGGTGAATCTGGTTACTGCTTATATATACCTTCAGAGTATGCGCTACACGTATATGAGACGTTAATGGAAGTAGGTAAAGATTATGGGGTACGAGACGTGGGTGTTCTCACACAACGTTTTATGCGAATAGAACGATTTATTCCCTTTTGGGCTGAAGAGTTAACACCATTTGTTACCCCATATGAAGCTGGAAGTGGATATAGTGTAAAGTTAAATGTAAGTATGTTATGCACATTTGTATTAACCAGACGGGGTTCCAAGACTTAACAAGGTTATTTGATTTTGTAGAAGGAGTATTTCATTGGAAAATTTGCTTTGCAATATCAAAAAGAGCAGGGTGTGACGAAACGATTAGTATTATTCGTTGTTAATGAACTGGATATAAACAAAGACGTATGGCCATGGGGTGGAGAACCTATTTATAGAAACAATAAATTTGTAGGAACTGTGACATCAGCTGGGTAAGTGTACATGATGAACACTAGCATAGTAAAATATATTTTTCATTGTTTCGAATTCATTTTATAGGTATGGTTTTGCAACTGAGAAACATATTTGCCTTGGTTTCATTAGTTTACCTGGAACAAGGCATGCGCAACCGAATAAGAATATTGTTACAACAGATTTTATAATGAATCCTATGGCTCGTTACGAAATCGATATTGCTGGTACTAGATTTCCTATTAAGCCTCATATTTATCCTTTACCGATACCAGCATTGAGCACTAAATTAAATAAAAAATATATTCCTACCCCTATCATTGGATATGAAAACGATGCTTTCCGATATTAAAAAGGAGAGGCCAATTTCTTGCTTTTTGACGAGGTTGCAGATAGTCTGAATTATTTAAACGTATTTATAATTTTATAGTTCATATTATACTTTTACTATTTTAAGTGAAACGTACTTATACATTTACTGAAAATATATAAATATTTAAAATTTGTTGACTTCTGCTTTATTTGCAGTTACACTAGAATTAATATA